TTTCTAATGATTGAAGAAGTTGTAAAGATTTGGTCCTCCAGAATCTTTTAGGCTACTTAGACAGTTTCATGACCACCGTATACCAAAAATTAGTTTTCAACAATATTATAGCTAAATCAATTGAATAATTTAAAAAATTGACTTCATTATATTAAATTGTACTCTATTATTATTTAAAATTTAACAAATTCAAAAATATTCTGCAGGTTTTACTCTTTATAAAGGTAAAAGCTTTAATCATTCTTAAAATTAACATAATGAACAAAGTGATAGCAAAGTGATGTTAAGAATATGATAATCACAGAAATTTGATAAAAAAAAAGTTTTTTTAATCGAAATATGGTTGGTATCCATACAGATTCCTTATTCTTATCAAGTAGCAATTTTCATACTTCCTGTAATTTCTTCTCACCTTTGTATTTTTAAACTATAACTATCTTTTAAGTTACTATGGTTTTAATTCTCTTTACAAATTAAAATTTTTTGTCCATATAATATAAAAACCCTCCATACACATCCAGATATGCATTTCATTCATCTTATTTTCTCTTCTTTAATGCAACTTAATTTCCGGCGTAGCTTTTAAAATAATTATATCAACTTTTCAACTACTTATAGTCACACTATGTTGTCCTTTTTCCTTGCCACATCAATAAACTTAAACATAAGCTCGTCACTAATTGGGATGCAATTTAACTTTTAAGTGTACACACTTGTTTCTCAAGGAACTTCATCCAGCCTATTCTTTCACTGCCATGCAGCAAGGAAAACCCATTTTAAAAGTTACTTTACGCACCGGAAATATAAGTGCAATAATTACAACTCACTCTGATGAAATAATGAAGAAAATTAAATGGTGGGAATGGCGGAAATCTAGCAGAAGTGCGTGTGTGTCTTAAGTTTCAGAAAAAGGAATTTCTATATAAATTTCTATATAGGGCATGTTTTATTCATGGCTTGGGTGATTTGAGTTTGTCACTTATGAAGTGTATAGTGTGCAATTAAAATGTCAATTTCTGAATTAATCGCAATTCATTAGGTTGAAAAATGTTAATAATTGACATACCGAAAGTGGGAAAAGGGAACGCCATTCTCAGAAATAAAAGTTATGTGCATTGCAATGACGTTTGAGGTATTTCA